AGCTAAAATAAAGTAGCTTAAAAAATATTTATGACATTGAAATTTTGAAATATTGTGAAACACATACCTTGACACAATTCTACCAATTTCAAGAAGACAAAGATACACCTGTCTTGGATCTTTGTGCAGAACTATGAAAAAATAAGATCACATATGTTACAGGGAAAAATTAAATGGGGAAATATATTTCTGGAATGGAAAAAGTAAAAAAAAAAGAATGTTGAAGACAGTGGGTTTACTTGTTTGGAGACTTAGAAAAGATATTTTAGTTTTCGCTACATATTATCATCTTCCATGAATTAAAAAAACAAACAAACAAACAAAAACTGGCTAACAAAAATATAATGAAAACTTACCATGGATCCTTATTTGCATAGCATTTTCATTCTAAAGCACTAAGGGCTTAAGTAACCTTAACTTATTTATATTTTAGTTCTCTCAACAAGAGATACTATTTGAAGAGATCTATCACATCAATTTTATTCTAGATTATCTTTAGCATAGGAAAATGTGTTAATAGTCTGTTCAAACTCTTCCAAAAATAGAAGAGGAGGGAGCACTTCCAAACTCATTGTATGAGGCCAACATTACCAATACCAAGCCAGACAAAGACATCACAAGAAAACTAAAGACCAATATCCTTTATGAATACAGATATAAAAATCCTCAAGGAAATGCTGGCAAACTGAATCCACCAGCAAGTGGGATTTATCCCAGAATGCAAGGTTGGTTCAACATATGAAAACCAAGCAATACAATGCACCATTAATAGAATAAAGGAAAAGAAACACACAATTACCACATTTTACTGTGTATACTGTGCTCTTATGCATAATGCACACCCACATTTTTGGCCCAAATTTTCAGGGGAAAAAAATCTTTCGTTTTAAGTTTTTAATTCAAATTTTTATTTGTTTACATTTAGGTACTTGTTTTTTGTATTATAAAGGAATTTTAGCATTTATTTTTTAACATATTATGGTACAAGAAATTTTATGTAACAAATAATTACAAAACACAAGAACAGATACAAGGTACAAGAAATTTTATGTACCGGTAACAAATTTACGATATTTACACATCATAGAAGGCCAAGAGCTCTTCATCGTTGCAAGTCCGTCGTAAGTTCAACAAAACCAACTATCATATTCCAGGTTATTATTTTGCAAACAGATATCATTATTGATTTCCAGAGTTACACTTTTAACTCATAAGCATAAATAAAAGAATTAAAAACATTTATATAGATACAAAATTAGTACTCCCCATGTATAACGCTCATCCTTATTTTTCCCTCACAAATTTGGGCAAAAAGTGCACATTATACATAGCAAAATACGGTATCTCAGCAGACACAGAAAAAGCATTTGACAAACTCAAAGACTCTTTCATGATAAAAAAGACTCAACAAACTGGGAACAGAAGGGAACTTTATAAATATAAAATTGGACATATATGAAAAGCCCACAGCTAACATCATTCTTAGTGATGAGAAACTGAAAGTCTTCCTCCTAAGATCAGGGAAAAGACAAGAAAGAGCACCTTCACCACTTCCATTTAACATTGT